AGGAGTTGGACGTGGTCTTGACGTTATTTATGATTTACAAAAAATAGAAGTTGAACTTGCACGGCAACTTGTGTTTGGAAAGGTTTATATAGATACAGTAGGCGAAACTTCATTATACATGCAACCTTTTTCATATCATATGGAACTAATTCGAGTATCTACACGTATTCTTGGAGACATACAATATTTAATTCCTCAAGAACCGATCCCAACTGAACATGCAGAATTGTTAATAGGATCTCCGGCAAATTTACCATATGTTTTCCCGGACACATTGTTTGATAATCCATCGAAAATCCTTTCATCCTTGGAAATATTGCTTTGCTTTATTAAACGGACACCCGGTGGAAATGGAGAAAGTTTTATAAAAGACTATGTAAACCAATGGTCAACACTTTCTGGACTTGTTGAAATTCATGAATGAAATAGCAATGCCAAGTTTTCATCTGAGCAGTTAAGAATTTGTCTAAGAACTGTCCAATCAGTTATAATATGGGCCAGACAATATTGTTCAGTGTTATTTACTATTTGGTTATATCTGCGTAAGAAATTAAATGTTGCCGGAGAGTGCGCAGAAGATCCAATTAAGGCATGAACGATCAGATGTAAAATTCTGTAGGAAGAAGGCGGCAAAGATCGAACTGAATGGTCGATAGAATTGTTAACTTGCTCTCCAATGTATCCAGGTTTAGGTCCAATTATTGGTGTGATATCTAATATTCGATTTGTTTTATTTTTACATCCTGGGCATCTTATCGCTTCCATAACCTGACCATAGCTAGCAATCACACAAATGTATCCACATTGACATGAGTATCTAAAAAATAAATTTTAATTAATATTTATCAATGATTATTAATAAACATAAACAAACACCCACCGGACAATTTGTCCTTCACCTCCAGTAACTACAGTCAAAATAAACATATTTTGACATGCACCTATATTATGGAAATATGCCGCAAGTGGTGTGAAATCTGGTGGAATTGAAGCATGCAATGCTACAATATGAGCTATAACCGATTTTAAAAACAAATTACTATTATCTATAGTTTCGTCTAAGCGAAGGAGCGATTGATTGTTTGAAAGTATTCTTCCTATAGTTACTTTATATCCATCCGATAAATTGTTCATTGTACCAACAATCTTCAAAAAATCCGAAGCTTGATTTTCTGGTGCCCTCCATTCACGAGATGCCCTAACCACATGTAGGTGAGATATAATAAGTCCAAATAATGCAATTCTTGCACGAAATTCATTAATATTTTGCAATTGTTGAATAAAAGCCTGAAGAGGAGCTTCGTTTCCAATGCTATACAATTTTTTAAATGCGTTTTCTGCCTGGTGATATTCCGGTAGTTGCCAATATGGATTAAATGGAAGACGATTATCTTTATTATCACTCCATTTGAATGTGGATAGCCAAGGAAATTTATTTGTGTGTGCTGCACAGAATCGTTTTACGTCATCAATTGAAAGACCTTTGTGACGCAGTTCACGAAGAAAATAGACCTTGAGTGACTCAATTAAGGGATTATCTACAGTCATAAAATTATTGATTTCTTCAAT